AAAATTGTCATAAACTCCCGGAGCTCTGCAATCGTCAGTAAGTATTGCTAATTGAGATCATATTCTTTGACAAATATTTTTTGTCAAATGTTTAGTAAAAGTGATTTAATATAATAATCTCTTGTAGAGACTCAACGATTATATTAAAACTTAATTGTATTTAAAAGTGCCGATTGATCATGTTGTATGTGTTCAACAACGGAATGTAGAATCTATTATTATACATAAATTATATTTTATAATTTAATTTAATACAAAATCTTATGTATTGTACAAAATATGTTCACAAATTGTATATTCTTTAACGCACAAAATAAAATATAAAAATTTAATGAATATAAATATATTTATTTATAGTATATTTCTTATACTTTATTTTATATATTATATTTTATGTTAATTGTCTTACATTAAAGTTTTTGTGTAATATAATTTGTATTTTCAAAATAATTACATAATTGTGTACAAAATTTAAAACAAATGTTAGCAAAAGTGTTTACCAATGTTATAGTGATAAAACAGTATATGTACAAAAAATAACATGTAATTAATTGATTGATGAATACGGTTTTCTTAGAAAGCATTTAATATTTCTGTATTTGTATGTATTTCTCAAAGGATTTATTTAAAATTTAAATTGTTTTCCTATTTAATGGTTTTTATAATTCATATATTTTACATAAAATTACAATAAAATTACTGCAAATTTATATGAAGTGCTTTTTGTGTAATCATAATCTGTTGCCATTCTCTACAATATGATTAAAATATTATTTTTAATCAATCGATTGCCATATATTTGCTTAATATTTGATATAATCTAATCGTAAGCCCTTCTCAATAATGTAATTGTTATTTCGCACAAAAACTATTGATAGCAAAAAGTGTTAACACGAAAAACAATATTTAAAATGCATTTGTCTTTTAATAACATTATATTTGAGTTGTATTTTTTTTTGTGAAGATGAAGTGCTGTCTGAATACAGGGAAACTGAAGGGCACTCCCACTCATTCATACGATTCCTGAATAAATATTCAACAAATTGCATGAAATTTTGTATACATTTTATAGGGTATTGTTCACTAAAAATAGCGTACATTAACATTGAATTCGCAAAACATCTCGTTTATTAATAGATATATATTTAAAAATATTGATCACTAAACTACCATGTGTTAAATGATAGCATGTTTTTGGCAACACAACTACAACTGTCCGTTAGGTCCAAAGTAAATGAATAGCTCTTAACTGAACCAATATTTGTCAAATCAATTGAATAAATGGCAAAATTATGTGTCAAATAACTGTACATTTAGTGCGAAAAACCATTTAAGCGCAAGGATTTTGAGGGTAAGAAAAGACCATTGAATCACATCTTATACACACATAATATAATCATTTTGAAAATAATGTGTTTTTCAGTATCATTTGCCGATATTTAAATTTTAAACTTAAACCATATTTTTGCGATTTTTACGTATTTATTAAACATATTTAATATCATGAAAATTAAAAAATGTTATTTTGTAAAAACATATTTGCTATTTATTTAAACAAATATTTTTATTATAATCAATTAATAAAATCTACTTCATATAAAAGTTTAGTAATTCAATAGTACATAAACTACTATTGTTTCGTATTTTGATTAAAAATGTTAACAATTACATTCAAAGAATTGCATTTCTGGGACTGATATTCAAATCAAATATATTTTAATAAAGCATTTAATTGTATGCAAGAAACTTCCGTTTTGTCTAAATAACACATTCGTTAATTACTTACAAAATAAGCCAATTGTTTGCAAACGAACTTCAGATAAATAAATTATAAACTGAAATATATTTTGGACGACACCTACAATACAACGAGAATTTTCCCAGAATTTATTTCAAAAGTGACTTTTTTTTATTGTTAAACTCATTGTTAATAAAGAAAATTAAGAAATTGAATAACTCTTATATTTTGAATGGATTGTGAATTAAATTAATTTTTGAGAGGATTTCCAGTCATTGATAGGAAATATATTAATAATTAAAATTATTATATATTCTGAAAGATATTTGAAATTATTTGGCGAACGAAAAAATAAATGATATATAAATCCGATTACAAACAAAACTAAACAAAATTTGTCCCCTATTTATAGCAACTCTTGACAAAATAAAGTATATTGAATAAATAATAAGGTCTATAAAATAAATTAATCTCTAATGATATTTGAATTAGTGTTGAGTTAACTATTATTATTATAAAATGTCCAAAAATCCTATTTTATATTACTTTGACTTTAATAAATAATTGATATTTTCATGTTATGTTGTGTTTTATATTCAATTTCATAATAATTATACATTTCTTTGCAAATCATTATTAAGATAAGTATTGTTTTGAATAAAATATTAATTTGTTTATCATTTATATTAATAACAAATCTCTATTTTAATATAATTCCTGATAAAAGATGTCAAAATTTTAAACACATATTTTGAAGACTTTTACGTAAATACAAATAATTATTGTAAAACACAATACAAATGATTTGTTATATTACATCTCGCATCATTTACTGAAATGTGTTTTAATCCAAAAGTTTAAACATAATGATCAGTTTGGGATGAGTTGTACAGTAGTTAATGTTTGTTTTAGACTAAATATGGGTTTAAACCAATTTAATTAATATACGGTAGTATTTCGTATTTATTATAATAACATCTAAATATAAATATTTTATAATTATTTTGCTTGTTTAGTAATATTCACGTAATCACTATTTGTATAATAATATAAAAATAACATTTTGACCATTTATTGTGAAATTTATAACACTTTTGTTGAGTTAAAATAATACATTAAACAAAATTAAAAACAAATTTCTTTAATAATTGTGAACACATTTGTAAATGTGTTTGAAGTTTAAACCGTTGGACAATAAAAGGATGTATGAGTTGTGATCCACTTGAAGACCATATATTAGACAAATCAATGATTTAATACAATAATATAATTTATAACTCGTTTTATTGTAGTCATTAAAAATATTATTATAACTTCCAGTTATACGACAGACTTATATACTGTATATTATTTCGTTATAGACTAATGTATGCAATAGTTATGACTTTAATCAGACAAATGAAGCCCTCGTCTAAAAGGAAATAATTAGACAAAATTTTTCCAACACTTATATTCATTGTAAAAATAAAATAAATAAATAAAATTGTTTGTTATATATTTAGCACTTAATGTGTGTATCTCTTCAAAAAATGTGTTGTGATTTTGTTTCATTAAATGATAAGAATTGAACAATAATTATAAACGAGACATGAATTACAATTAGTAACACTTTTATGGCATGAAAATCAATTTTCTTTGATTATTATTATTAAGAATAGAAATAAAATACAAATATTGACAATATTTTAGGAGACAATTAATTTGCGGGGCATTTGAGTGGCAATGATTGGGCGCATATCGGTGTGACGTGCGCTCAGGTATGCCGTATACCATGTATGCCATGCCCTTCATAGCCATTCATAGGCGGCTACACTATTCACTGCACGCTATTCTTGAGCGCAAAAATATTCTGTTTTCCATTTCTATATAAACTTTATTTCTTCTCATCGTTTCTTCTTCTCCTCCTCTCATCTCATCCTTTGATCGCAAATATAATTTTCGTATCGTTTTTAGTGTCCATTGAGTCAACATTCGAGACACTTGTTATAACAATCGGTGTGTTTTGTTTTGGCGATTCAGTCGCTTATATTTTGATTAACTTTCCTTTCAATTAAGTCATTGAAACCGATTCTCGCACTCAATAACTGATCACTAATACAAAGATGAAGTTTGCGAAAGGCGTCTGTCATTCAAGAAATGTTGTCTCCTTAACATTATTGAGTTCTTCACTCATATTATTATCATTTATTTCTATCATCTCTTCCGAAACTATTGCAAAAATACCCGATTATGACACCAATACTGAAATGGATTCAATTACTAGCAGTCAATCCAATCTCATTCACACAAACCCTTCAAAAGAGAAGTAAGTACTCGTAAAACACTTTATTATTTACCCGAGATTTTATTTTTAATTAATTTCTTACTTAATTTATAGAAATCTTAGTTTAATTAAAAATTAAGTTCTTTTATAGTGAATAGGATCTAAATATTTGCTTAAAACGATTGAATTAAACTGTCGTTAAGTTCTGTTCACAAAAGACTTGTGAAAAAAATGTGTGATTTTTCTTAAGCTATTATTTATTTGAATTTAATTTGAATAATCAAAGCATATGAAGTGTCTGTCGACTGAATATATTTATTAATTAAGATTTGAAACCAGAATTCTAAATGAATTTGATTTTCATTCACACTTTTTTACTCCACTTTCGTATAACAATAAAAAACTATTGACTTATAACTTCAAAAATAGCTTCGCTTTTCTTAAGTATACTTTAAAATGGGTTTTGAATGAAATTGTTTGACTAAAAACTAACAATTGATATAAATTTTAATCCTTAAGTCCTTATAGTGTTTGATTTTATAACACAAATGAATTGTTTGAAAAATGTGACTAACATCTGAAATAAACGAATTGTATTATTAAAAAGTGAATAACAATGCATTTTATAATAGTCTTGAATCGAAAAGTGAATTAATCTAAAAATCCTTTCAAATTTAATACAATGTTTCACTTATTTTTGGGTGACTTTTGAGAATAACAAAAGTTTTTGTTTAGTGTTAGATGTGATTAGATTTGATATTCGCTGAGAAAACATATTGTGGAAGTCATATACCCGTCAAAAGCCATATGGTTTTGCATAATATATGCATTATTTATCAATAGTTACGACTCTTACAGTTATCGCTATATCCATTCAATTCACATGTTTTACAAATTGATGGATTAGATCCCTATGACTATCACATATTAAGTCAAAATCTTCATAACTATATTATTGAAACACTACCAAAAGCATTAAAATTCTAGTTTCAATTTTGTTCACTTTTTACAGAATATTCTGTAAGAATATAAATAAGTTTTAAAACACAAGTTTAACATAATTTTACACAATAAATAAATTTTTATAAATATATTTACCTTTTTTAACATTTAAAGAAAGTAAATAATTATTTTCTGAAGTAATACAAAAAACACAACGAAATAAGAGACAATTGAATCAAATGTATGTATTGTTTGCAATAAATTAATTTGTAAATCGTTTCGATGAATTGATTTGCATCTGATTTCATAGCATTGAAAACGTTTAGTAATTGTATTTAAATTAATCCAAACATTAAACTATTTAGTGAATGGATGTGTGAATCAGCAAAACATTATTTGATGCCAAAATCTTTTATTAAATATCTAAATAACCTTTAATTGTAATCCTATATAAAATTAATTGATTTATAAACAACATCTCCTTTCAGACAATTATGATGAAAGTTTTTATAGCGATAACTATTATAATCACAGTTAATAGATTGAGTGTATAATTTATAATAACAATAATATTACTCTATAAACAATTAAAACAGTATCTTATATCATTAGCATATTGCATTGTTATTATGAAAGTTTTAAACAATACCTTAGAGTTTTCAAACAAGTTTTTATTAACAAAAACCCTTTATATTTTATTTTACATTAATTTAGTAATAATTAATTATTAATATTTATAGTTATAACTATTTGCGAGGAATTATATCAAAGAGAGCTAATATACGTTACCTGAGGAATGTTTTGGACGCTTTGGATAATAAACTCGAGAGATTTCAGTAAGTCTTATGTCTTGTAATTTTTGTTTTTTAAATTTATTACTTTTTTAATTCTGTCCAAAAAGAAAGTATTTATTAATCCATATTTTATATATTGGATTAATAATTTACCATTCGTTTTTGTGAACAATTTTTCACACATTTTTATTACTTATTGTGAGTTTTAAAACTAAATTATGTTATGACTACAGTATTATGTTATGAAATATAGTAATAGATTGTTTTAAACTAAATTATGGTTTAGTTCAAATAGATATCTAACAAGTATTGATATATTACTTTATCGTAAAATTTAATTTTTAATGATTTTGTACTCAATAGTGGGTATATTTTGGTAAGATTTTGTGAAATTCAATATTAAATTTAATCAATCATTACAACAATATTTCTGATGTTTAGTTCAAAATTTGTTTTTCCTTTAATTCTATAATTATATTTCACATCAAATATATACTCAAAAATTGATTGTATTATACTTTAAAAGACTTTTACCGTCGGTATCGTTAGGAATCAATAAATAGACAATAAAACGTGAGCCCACACACAAACACAACCAATTTTACCTTAATACCATTTCTATCCAATTTTCTGTATTTTCTATAGCTCACATGTAAAATATTGTGTTCATATAAATTACCAATTAATTACCAAAGATTAAATATAATAATGCCAAATTAGCTTAAGAAAAAAAAAATCTTTAATAAAAATATATTCTATATTAAATATCATAGTTTTAACTAGTATATTTTTGGATTATAAACTAATGGGTCTATAAACTTTAAAAAATAAACATGCTAACAATTTCTTATTAATTTAATAAGTTTAAATATTTTAAATTAATACCTCAAATACAAACTACAATTATCATAATTTCTATACATTTCACTATTCAATACCTAATTAATAAATAACTTATTTACTATAAATATAGCCTAAGGTCTAAACATTATTGAAATATATTTCATAAATATTTAGTAAATATTTTCCAATAAATTTCATTCAAATATCAGATTAATTATTAAATATTTAATATAAAGTCCATATTACATATTAAATTCCAACTTTCGGTTACATAAAAGTGATTTTAAATTAACAAATATTTCATTTAAAAAGAAATGTATTTATGAATCTAAAAATTGAAAACAGATTAACTATATTACGTAAAACAAACAAAAAACAAACTAAGATTCAAACTGTAATGATTAAGAAAATTAAGATAAATTTTGAATATTGAATTAACAATGAATTTGTAAATTAAAATATAAACCATTTAAGACTAGTCTATATAGCAGTCGAGTAAAGGATTGAAATAAAACCAAGACTTAAATTGGAAATTATGAGCCGATTATCAAAACTAATTGCTTTGACTTTCAAACACTATTCGTTCATTTGTTAATAATTAAAATGTCATAAAATGGCAAAGAAAAGGCACTATTGTATCCGTAAAAACTACAAAAAACAAAATGTACATCAAGTTTATACAAAGTAACCTATGTCTTTTATCTTTAAATCAATTATACATCCTTTTTATGTGTGTTTTTTGGTTTTTAATCCAAAGAAAAGCGAATTAAGTTAAGTATGAAATCAAAATACCATAAATCATAAGCTAATAAAATCATAGCTATTATTAAATTTAAAAGTTTTCCGTCCCTTTGTTTTTGTTGCTCTCCTTTTTATATTCAATTAAATGCGAGACTGTTTT